ATTATCTTTTGTGTCTGTGTTAATTGGTTTCCCTTTTCTTTGTTGAAGAGGGTCTGTGCAATCCTTCTGCCTAGTCCGCCATCTTGCCCCGCCTCCTGCTCTTTATCATTTTAAAGAAGTCTTTTGCTGCAGATTTGCACAATACACACACACACATACATACACTCAATTGCACACACATACGCTCATGTACACACACATGCACACAATACACACTCACATATACCTACACCCAGACTAAACTCTTGTGCTTTCCCAGGAGGCAATTTTGACTGCTCTTCTCTGACGGGTGACTGGGCACTGGAGGACCCACGTGCAGAGCTAGACGCCTCCTCTCTGTCTCCCAGAGAAACCTCCCGGGACTCATCTCCCCAGTCCCCGCTGACAGCGTCTGAACGTTTCCACAAGAGCAGTTGTGAGCATTCAAGTGAGTCTGTAGGTTTGCATTTTGAAAATGTAATCTTTGCCTCACCTGAAGAATTCTTCCTTTCAGGGCCTGGGAATGATTAGAGATGACTCCTGTACACTCAGGACCTGGCACCAATCTGTGTGAGGAGGGGGACCAGGGCCATGGCCGGAGCTCACTGCCACATTCACAGAGTGGTGGCAGCCTGTGGAGTGTGATCTAAGAGGCATCAAAGGCTGTACCTGCAGCTTTTTATTTACTCTCTTAAAGTGCTGACCAAACATGGCGAACGTTAGGCTCTTATAAAGCTGAATATTGGGTGCACAGGTGTTTGTGTTTTTACTCTATAAACCTAATTGTGTACTTGACGTACTTTGTAACAAAAGAAACATCCTTTTATGTTATGCCTCTGGACAGTCCAAAAATAAGAAGGCATTTCTTACTTAGAGCCAATCTGAGACATGCTCAACAAGTACATGCCTTAATTCCTAGTTTGCTGATATTTGATTAATCATGATGGAGACAGTGTCGCATCAGAGTTAAAGAGTGGGTTCCTTCATCATCTTGCCACGTGTCCAAGCCCAGCTCCTACCCCGCTCATTAGCTGTGACTCCAAAGTGGTTTACCAAGCTCTCTGAAATTTTAACAGTCTCATTTGTAAAAAGGAGAAACTAATAGTTCCTAACTTTCAATGAAGGAGCTCTGGTGACAAATGGTTAAGAACTCAACTGCCAACTGAAAGGTCAGAATTAAAACCTTCCTGTGGCTCCTCCATAAAAGAAAAAATCTGGAGACCTTCTCCCATAAAGGTTACGGCCTAGGAAACCCTACGGGATTAGTTGTACTCTGTCACATGGGGTCGTATGAGTCAGAACTGACTGGACAGGACATACAGCAGCAGCAATTCTTTGAGGGACTGAGATAATTCATGAGAAGTACTTGGGACAGCATGTCTCATAGACTGCATACTTGAGAAATGTGAGATTCTTGTTACAGAAAAGTACTCTTCAAGGCAAAAATTAAAGAAGTGGGGAGGTGATTTCCCAAGGAAGTAGCAACAAAGAAGGAGCTCTGGTGGTGCAGTGATTAAACACTGGGCTGCTAATCAAAAGGTCAGCAGTTTAAACCCATCAGCCACTCTGAGGGAGAAAGATGAGGCAGTCTGCTTCCATAGAGATTGACAGCCTTGGAAACAGAGGGTTTACTCTGTCCTGTAGGGTCACTGTGAGTCAGAATTAATTTGACAGCAATGGGTGTGTGGGTTTATCAACACAGAACAGGAAGTAGACGCCCACTATTCTCAACGAGTTTAATAGGAGATACAGAGAACAAAAATAGTGATTCCAATGCTGTATGAACAGCGGTGATGAGACATGCATGAGCCCTTATGGAAGTACAGAGAGGGACCAGAGAAGAGTCTGGACAGAGCTGAAGGATCAAAATAGACTTCCCAAAGGAGATGACATTTGAGCTAAGTCATAACAGATACTAAGTCAAAGAATACATGTATGAACAATTTGTCCAATATATGCAATGTTTATCTTTGCAGAACTTGATTGAAAAACTCAGTACACCTTTAGTATCTGTGTCCAGGGATCTTCACAGTTTTTCAAGTTGGACTTGTTTTGTGAGGAATGGTTTTCCAAACTCCACGTGAAATCTGGGGAGGCTGAGAATAAAACACGTCTTAGAAGGATGGTTGAGTGCTCAATTGAACCCATAATCTCTTGTTTAATTCACAGTACACACATTTGTGGCAACATCATTTATTACTGTGTTTGGAATGCCAGTCTTCAGTGTCCCACCATGCTATAAGTTAAATAAGTTTTATCAGCAGACCCAGTCCTCATTCATAGCATGGAAAGCAAAGATAAGTACAGACCCAGCATCAAGTCATTCCAAATTTTAAACAATTGTTGCAAAATGGAATGCTTGAAGCATTTGGCAAAAGTTAGGTTGGAGTCTGTTTATACTTTCCTTTAGATTGTTACCTGGTAATTGAGCCAGCTCTGATTTCTTTTAGGTGATTACAGTAGTACAGGTCATCTTGACTTATGACACATTCAAGTTATGATGAACTGCACTCATAACTGCCTTATTTAAAAAATAATTTGTGTATTCTTTTTATGTATGTACTAAAATACATGTATAAGCCTATGTGTAATATTTCCAATCCCCAAAGACAAATAAAGGTTGGATTTATAAAGATACTTGATAATAAAATAATAATAATGAAAACTTAGGGGGGAAAAAAAAGAGAGATTCAACTTGTCAGAACTGACTGAACAATGGAGTCATTTGAATGGAGCCCCATCATAAATCAGGGACCACCTGTACTCAGGTTCATGATTGTTTAATTTTCATGTGCACACACATTACATAAATGGAGTTTATAAAATGGAGGATTTGCAGTCCTTCCTACTGTGGCTCTATACCACATAAGAATAGACTGAGAGTAAGGAGTTCCTCAAGGACAAACAGTTCATTGCATAGGTTTTTTCATTTCAGCCTTCAGAGACTCCAATAGGCAAAGCTTCAGTTCTTTTTACTTGCCCAATTTCAGACAAAACATTATGTTCTAGCTACACATGGTTTGTAATCTTGGCTCTGGGACCTGCCTCATAGTTGTTCATAGTGGTGTGACCTTGGGCAGATGACATCATTTCTCTGAATCCTGGTCTTTTCATCTACAGAACTAAGGTAAGTGTACCTACCTCCCAGGGATGTGCTGATTCAGTGAATGGATGTATGAAAGCTGAACTACAAGGCACTCTGCAAATTTTAGGCATCGTCATCACCACCACGCCACCACCACCACCATCACCATCATCGTTACTGGAGTTAAATTTCTGACATTAGCATACGTTCTACACGACTTTCTCCAACACTAAAGCAGAAGGCAAATCCTGAGCTGTTTGCCATGATATGAGCATTTCAGTTTCAGTGAGAGAGGGGACTTATGTGCTGAAATCTGCTAACAAATGACCCTGCAGAGCATAAAGTAATTGTATCCTATTATTTATGGCAAACTGCTTGAGATGACATACATTCATAGAAGAGAAGTTTTAGTCTAATTTTGTTGCTCTAAGATAATTTAATCAGCAATGAGATCTAATTAATTTAATTTTCTTTTTCCTGTTAGAGACCAGTTTGTTACAAGAAGTCTTTTTTCAAGCCATCCTGCTGACCACATGCTTCATCTTTTCTGCATGTGCAAGGTAATTCAAACCTTGTTTTCATGCAGGGGTTAGTTCATAATTAATAAAGCTGTAACTGATTGATGGACTCCGTGCCCTATTCCACAGCATTTTCAGTAGCTCTGTGGCTAAGATTTGCTCATTTTGCTGACCATGGTAAATAACCCTTTATCTCTGTTGCTGCCTCCTCCTGTCATCTCTTAAAGCATGCAAAAACCAGTGCATCTTAATTTTGATTTTAGCATGTACCACTCATTTTTCAAAGCTTCAAGAGACTCCCTGTTACAGATACAGGCTAAGCACTCCTGCCTAGAGTTCAAACACACTTGAAATATCTATAACGGAACTTGGTGTCCCCACCAGGTCTCCACCTTTCCCATTGTATTTTTATACCCTAATATAAACTTATTGTTCCAGGGAAGTCCATTGAGCATCTCAGAACACATAACATTCAAGTCTTATCATAGACATTTTTTGTCTTACCCTCTATCTGGCTTGTCCTTCGCCTGCCCTCCTGTTCTTTCCTTGCCCAAGTCTCCAGTGCAGTGATAAAGTACCCTTCTATGCAAAACCCACTCCCACCTCAGGGCCTTTGCACTTGCTGTTCACTCTGTTTTGTACAGTCTTCTCCTGATAGGCTCCTAATTTATGCCCTTAATTCTTTCTGGAATCTGTTCAAATGTCACAGCACCAGAGGGACCTTCCTGAACCACCCTGTATGAATTGCATACTCACTCTCTGTTGCACACATCTTGCTTGACTTCAGAGCACGTGTCACCACCTGATGTATGGTCTATCTCATGCTTCTAGAATGTGACTTCCTTGAGAGTGGAGACACTGTGGGTCTCCTTCACTTTTGTATCCTCAGTGCCAGGGGCTCAACTAGTTGAATCAGTGAAATGAAAGTGAATGGCATAGTCTCCAGGTCTTTTTGGTCCTGGCACTCAAGTCACCAAGTGCTGCTTGTTTGCAAGTCATGCTCAGAAGACTAACTCAGAATCAACTAACTCAGAATCACTGGAGAGCACTGTTTTTGAGACACAAAGTTTTAAAAATACAAAGCCGTTTTTCAAACTTAAACATCCCTTGAGATTCTAATTTAGATCTCATGAGAATTAGTATTTTAAAGCAAGCTTCCCAGATAATTATGAGGTTTGAGGAGCATTTTTAGATAACAATGGGACTAAAAGAACAAAAGTGGGAGGGGCTCTATGGTTAAAAATAAATTGGCAAACTTTTGCACTATATAGCTCAAGTTGGAGGATCATAACGTCTATCAGCACAATAAAAGCTTAGCGAAATAATGAAACAAGGATGCATGCTTATCTTTACTTAAGTTGTGTTTCCCAAACATTGCTGGTCATGGAGTCCTTTTCTATGATTTCACAGGACCACTAATGAAATACTACTCTTCTGTCAATTTCTGTAGATACTCCTCCCCCAAGGAGGTGGAGCTTAATTCCCTATGAATGTATGAGCTGAGGTTAGTGATTTTCTTCCAAACAGTAGGTTGTGAAGGAACCTGGAAAATACTAGCTCATCCAGCTGATCCAGGTTAAGGCATGTAGGGAAGACATGTTGTTAGCATGTACTCTTGATATACTGTGATGAGAAAGGTACTTGACTTCTGTGGTGTTCCTCCCCAAAACCCATGACCCAAGTCTACCCATAAGGAAAACATCACACAAACTCAGATTGAGGGACATTCTACCAAATACCTGGCTAGTCTTCTCAAAATTGTCAAGTCTCAAAAATGAGGAAAGATTGAGCAACTGCCACAACTCAGAGGAGACAGTGGAGACCCTACAATTAAATGTAATGCCATCTCCTGGATGGGATCCTGGAATGGAAATAGGGCATTAGGAAACAACTTGTGAAATCCAAATACGATGTGGAGTTTAGCTAAGAGTAACATACCCATGTTGGCTTCTTGGGACAAATATACCAGGGAAACATAAGATATTAATAGTGGAGGAAACTGGCTGATGGGTACTATCTTTGGAGCTGTTTTTAATACTATACTAAAATGACAAAGGGTGTGTACATTGAATGGATTTGGAACACCTACTGAAAATCAAATGACCATAAATGTAACCACTATTCTGGACTCTCAATTCAGTTTCACTGATATATCTATCCTTATGTCAGTGACATGCTGTTTGAATATTGGTGCTTTGTACTAATTTTGAAGTTGTGAAGTAAGAAATTCTCCAACTTTGTTCTTGTTCAATATTTTTTTGGCTATCTTTGATCTCTTTTGCATCATTTTTGTAAGAGTGAGACATTGAAAACCACCCAAATGTACATAAATATAAGATGAGGCAAATAAATTAGTTGTGCCCATATGATGGAATAATAAAAATCTGTCAAGAGAAATAGAGCTGGAATTACATTCTATATGACCATGAGACCCAGAAAAACTAGATGGTGCCCAGCTACCACTGTAAACCACTCGGAGGGGGATTGGTGCAGGAGATCCTGGATAGAGTGGGAGAACAATGTGAAACAAAACTCAAAATCGTAAAAAAAGATCAGGTTAGCTGGTCTGATAGAGCCTGGTGAAATCCCTGAAATTATGGCTCCCAGCCACCCCTCAGGTCTGGCTGGACTCGAACTTACTCCTGTGGTTTCCAGCCAAATAACAGACAGGCATATGGGGTGAATATTTACATCAGGTAGATAGATACACTACTTAGAACGATCAATCATGGGAGAACAGAAGTGCAGTGTATGCACAGGGAGAGAGCTCAGAGGGTGGGAGTGCATGGGAAGGAAGGACACAGGGAAATGGTAACTATGGGGAGGAAGTGGGAAGAGAGCTGTTCCATTGTGGAGAATTGCAGTCAATGTCATGAGACAAAATGTGCATGAACTGCAGTATGGAAAATGAATTTGCTCTGTAAACTTTCACCTAAACCACAATAAAAATTTTAAAAGAGAGAGATTGAATTAAAGAAAGGAGGAAGAGAGAGGAGAGAGATTTCTAAGATATGCATTATCCATTATAAGCATCTGTAAACCTTGAATACTATCTATGCCTTCTAGTGCATTGGTACAAAGTATATTTAATTTATTGTAGTTCATTTATTTAATCGTGTGCTTAAGTGGGTTGTGTTATTTGTGAATTAATTTCAGATAGAAAGAGGCACTATGAAATGTTTGTTATTGGAAGAGTGTGTTGGTCTGGTAGGTCTGAGAAGCATTAGTACTGAGAGTCCATGCTGTGGGATTTTCAGAGGAGTAAACATAGGTGCCTACCTCCCCATGCTCTGACCAGGTGTATCTTGATCCTGGAGCATTAGAGTAGCCTCTTAACTAATTTTCCTCCCTCCAGGGATGTCCCCCTTGACTCACATGCTGCCCAGGGTGATCTTTATAAGACCTCATCAGCCTCATCAAGTCCAGCTTCTTAGCGAGGAGCTTTCAGGTCTGCTCCTACATCCTGCCACCCATCCTTCCCCTCCCAGGTCCAGTAATATCAGCCCATGTGGAATACCCTTCCCCCACACCAACTCATACCTATCGAATTCTATTGATCTATGTGTCTATCTTTTCACCGATGCTACACCATCTGGTTGACTGTAGTTTTAAAGTAAATCTTGAAATGTTAGATCTACATTAAGTGCAAGGAGCCTTGGTGGCACAACAGTTAAGTGCTTCGCTCAAACTCACCCAGTGACTCTGCTGGAGAAAGACCTGGTGATCTGCTCTCATAAAGATTACAGCCTAGAAAATCCCATGGGGCAGCTCTACTCTGTCACGTGGGGTCCCTATGAGTCAGAAGGGACTTGACAGTCCCTAACAACATTGACAACAACTTATTAAGTCTAAAAGAGCATCTCACGTGTTAAAAACGCATACTCAGTACGCTAACCCTGCTCAATGCTGTTGTTTCAGATGGTTTCTGGGAGAAGTATTAGCCAGTATCTTCACATGCTCGTTGATGATCATTATAGCTTGTAAGTAATCATTACCCAAATGGCTGCTCTGCTTCCTGTATTTCATTCCAATTGTGTTCATTTTGAAAACATTCTTAAATGTTCTCTCTTTCTCACCCAAGATGTTGTCAAGTCATTGTTTCTCACTGTTGTCAGCTATCGCAAAGCCACCACCTGTGCTCGGTAAGTGAAATCTGTGCTGTCGTCTTTGTCTGAACTGTGATCTGAGATCTGAGGACGATTCATGCTGAGTTATTGATGATGGTGACTACACACAGGAAAGGTCCTGATTGTTCATCATAAAGAACTCTGTTACTGCTAAAATCTTACGGTGTTACATTCCTGCCTCCTTATCTATTCTTACATCAAAATAGACTGAATTAATTTTTATGGCAGCAGGACTTTGGATAACTTTTTGAAAGTGTGTGTGTGTGTGTGTGTGTGTGTGTGGTGAAATACATATATCAAACTATTTCGATCAGTTGTATACATACAATTTAGTGACCGTAACTGTATTCATCATGCATTACGATCACCTCCATCCGTTTCCCAGTTCATTTTTTTATCCTTAGCAAAACTGTGCACTACTTAGGTAATACACACACACACACCTATTTTCCCCTCTCATGTGCCATCCACTAATGAACTTTGGTCTCTATGCATTTTCCTAGTCTAGATATTTTACACATCATCTGTTTGCTTGTGACCGACTTATTTCACTCTGTTTACAAGTTTCATTATGTTGTGGCATGCATTCATTTCTTGTTATGGCTGAGTTATTCCATTCCATGTTATACACATTTTGTTTATCCCTTCATCTGTTTTTTCTTTTTTTTCCTCCAATCTTTATTGCGATTTGGGTGAAAGTTTACAGAGAAAATTTCTTTTCCATACAGCAGTTCATACACATTTTGTCTCATGACTTTGACTGCAATTTTCCACAATGGAAGAGCTCTCTTCCCACTTTCTCCCTGTAGTCTTCCCTGGGCCCTTCCCTCCCACGCACTCCCGCCCCCCGAGCTGTCTCCCTGTGCAAACACTGCCCTTCGGTTCTGCCATGATTGATCGCTCCAAGTAGTGGATCTACCTGGTGTAAATGTTCACCCTGTATGCCTGCCTGTCTATTGTTTGCCTGGAAGCCACAGGAGTGAGTTCAATTCCAGATCTGAGGGGTGGCAGGGGGCCATAATTTCAGGGGTCTCACCAGGCTCTATTAGACAAGCAAACCTGTTTTTTTTTTTTTTTTTTTTTAATGATTTTGAGTTTTGTTGCACATTGTTCTCCTACTCTATCCAGAATCTCCTACACAGATCCACCTCCAAGCGGTTGATAGTGGTAGCCAGGCACCATCTAGTTCTTCTGGGTTCATGGTCATATAGGCTGAGGATCACATGGTCTACCAGTCCCTTGGCTTAATTGTTTCCATGCGTCTTTGGTTTTCTTCATTCCTCTTTGCTCGGGCCGCTTGCAAGCTTTTAAGATCCCAATGGCTACTCACCAAAGTAGAATATGGAACAATGTTTTTGTGTGGTATATTATGCCAATTACTTGATGTCCCCTGTGACCTTGGTCTCATCTGGGGGCTTTTAAACAATTATTTTTCTTCTTCTTCTTCTTGTTGAAAACATACATAACAAAACATACACACACCAATTCAACAATTTCTACATGTACTATTCAGCAGCACTGATTATATTCTAGGACTTAAATTCTTTAAAAATAATTTTTAAGTGCTTTTCAGATTCATAGCATTGTACTTTATAAATACCTCATCTTAAGGAAACTTAATCTTACATGGTGACCCGCAGAGCTGGCAAATGGCCCATGAAATGATCACAGTTACACACTGTTACTTTGCCATCTTAGACTCACTTAATGGTCCCCTCCTGTGCTGGCTGACATGGTCCAGCGTATTTCAAAGGGTTTGGGGTGTGGGTGAAATGTTCATAGAATTTCAAATAGCCTGCAAAGCCCCATCCCATTGCAAGGTGGGTGGTATTAATTACAGTCACTTCAATGTGGCTGCCAGAGGCCAACTCCCAACACTTGGAAATTGAAAGCGATAACTCAAAGTATTTTCTTGGCCTGTGCTCTTGACACTGTTTCTCTATTTATAAAATATTTATGTTAATCCTGAAATCTCAGTGAAGTTTAGTGAAAGTTTTATTTTGTTTAGGACTCTTGTCGATATTGATTTATTGGCACTTGAGTGAGATTTCCTCAAATAATTTGCCAGCATTCCAGGTTTCTGGGGGGCCATTGACATACCTAAGTATTATTTAATCTGATACCTAGAAAATAGGGTCCTGAGCTCACCCAAGACATCCTTATCCTTCTAACCTTTGTAAATTAATGACATTTGTTTAAAACTCTACTGAGATGATGAGGTGCCTCCCTCTAGCTATAGGTCACCCTCTAGGGCTTACTAGTACATATTCTATGGTGTTAACTGTAGGTCGGCCCAGCTTTATGGGCCGATAACACACTGATTGGGGTTAACACTAACTGGCTAACTGATAATGTCCAAAGAAAGACCAAAAGGGCCATTTGGAACCTAAATTTCAAGCATGAAAAGATGTATTAGGATAGAGCTCTCAGATGACAGAACTGTGGAGATTCCTCCCCCTTACATTTTAAGATGAGCTTGTACAATCTCATGAGAGAGACTTAAGTCTCATCTTGTTAGGAAGGTCTATAATGAGAACAGAGCTTCTCAGGTATGGCTTGGGGACTATCTGCTGTAAAATCAACGGAGAAGCTTACTTAAAGAGCAGACTTTAAAAACTACAGAATGAAAATTTCTGAGGCGTCTACATTTCCAAACAGCTCTCCTGGTAATTCTTTGCACATTAACTAAGAGGATTTTGAAACATAATTTCTAAGACCTTTATCCCTTGATTTCTAAAGTGATATCATTTAAGCTACCAAACACTAACTGAAAACTTGTGATATATTCAGTGGTGCACTGAGTGCCCAGTCCAGTTTCACAGACATTTGTGGGGTCTCTACCATGGGTCAGACACTGTCACTATGCCACAATGGCAAGGCATGTGCCTGGCCTCAAGATTTCAGAGTCCAATTTCAGTAGCAGCCACGCAAAGGGCGAGGGGAAGTTGATGTTCAATATGGTAAGTGCAAGTTAAAGATTAAACGCGAGGCTCTGGGAACAGAAGGAGGGAGGATCCCCAGACTTGGAGGAGGTGGAGCGTGTGGGCAGAGAAGGCTTCCTGGAAGAGCCGACAGCAGATGTTCAGGGGTTATATCATCTCCTGCTTTCGGAGCACCCCCCCAGTGCCTGATACTCTGTTCTGAGTTCTTTGCTTGTGCTTGCCTGAGAACTTAGATCAGGATATTTCTATTCTTACACACTGTCATCTGTAACCTCCTTTACGGAATAACCCCTTCTTTGAAGATCTGTCTACATCTCGTAACCTATTCTTTTCCCAATTTCTCTCCATTTTTGTCCTGGTCTCTTCCTCCCCAGTCTCATACTCTTGTATATATGATCCTGAAAAGCAAGCATTATTGAATTCATTTGTACATCCATCTCAATGCCTTGAAAATGATATTTCCATAAATATTCATTAAACTGAATGCATTTGCTGCATCATTTCTTAAAAGTACCTCCTTTATAACCAAGAACTCACTGGCTATATATTAAAGATGTTGCAAATCTCTCCCCATATCTATAAATATACCCAGAAGCTAAGAAGCCATAGCCATGGTTATTAATAACAAGAGATAAGAATGACTCATAAGCCTCCTCTAGCAACTAAGGATGAGAATCTAAGGAAGTGGAGGGCAAGCACTGACCTCAGTTCAAAAGACACTAATGGAGTACTCCCTCACACACCCACCTGCACTGTGCATAGTTAGAATAGATTAGGTGCCTAGCCTTCAACGCTTTATACTTCCCAAGTCATATGGCTTTTTGTGCCATGATGTAATTCTTATTCAAGTAGCTTTCTCAAGAAACTTAAGGTCTTCAATTATAGGGACTGTTCATCCTGTTCACCATTGGCCCAAGAGGCTCTTTCAAATGAAGTCATCACAGGTTCACATGGCTTCTGTGATGTGTCAGCATCAGTGGTGGACATTTTGTACACTGACAACTTCATAGTGAACAAACTTGGTATTAGTTAACATCTGTTCTCTCTACTGTATATGCAGGCACGCATGTTCATATGGTTGGTGAGTGAGTGAATGAATCAATGGACATTAAACCAGTTGCCATCAAGTCAATTTCAACTTGCATTGACCTTATGGGTTTCAGAGCAGAACTACACTCCACAGGGTTTTCAGTGGCCATGATATTTCAGAAGTAGGTAGTCAGGCCTATCTTCCAAGGAGCCTCTGGGTGGGCTCAAGCTGCCAACCTTTTGGTTAGTTGCCAAGTTCTTAATCATTTGTGCTACCCAGGGACTCCATGAATGAACTTCAGCCTAGACCAAACCTAAACCCACTACCATCAAGTTGATTCCGACTCACAGTGACCCTTTAGGACAGAGTAGAACTGCCTCATAGGGTTTCCAGGGCTGTAAATCCTTACAGAAGCTGATGGCAGAGTGACTGGTTAGTTTGAACCACTGACCTTTCAGTTATCTGCTGGTGCTATAGCCACTATACCACCAGAACTCCTTTAAGGAATAAAAATATGGAAAAACTCATTTGCTACCCTTTAGGTATTCCTGGGTAGTGGAGGTGGTACAGGTGAGAAAACAACGAGATGGTAATTATCTACATACTAAGCTGAGCTTAGGAGGTCAAGCCTCTGTGGCCTTTAGAGGAAAAGGAGAGTACAAGACCTGCTATGGTGAGAAAAAAAAAAAAAAAAACAAAAAACAGTTACCCTAAATGGAGGTGCCACTCTTCCTAGCTATGGGTATTTAAGTGAGTTGTGTGTGTGTGTGTGTGTGTGTGTGTGTGTTTGCAGTGATTAGATACTACATTTCCTGTGCATGTGAATGAATTATGCATTTTTTTTCTCCTTTCACTGATCTAGGTTAGTCAAAATTTGACAGCCACTTAGGCGTGCTTCAGATGAACATTTCTGATCTGAAGATCCAGAAATGACCCCATTTACAGTCCACTTGGAATCAACTGCTGTCCTATTGGACGAGAGTGAGCACCAGTATGGTTGGGAAACATCCTCCTTTGGCTCTATGATTTTTAAGTCTCAGTTTTACC